AATTCTTTTTTAAATCTTTTAAAATCATTCTAGCTTGGTTGGAAATGCTTTAAAACAAACGAAAAACATATTTAAAACAAGGAAGCTTTTCAGGCTTCATTTCTGGAGGTCAGACTCTCGAAAATGATAAAGGTTTTCTCTGAAAATGTATTTTTGAAAGTATTTTATTGCCAATCCTTTCAGGCTATCCATACAGCCCATATTCATCATTCTAACCACTTTTCAGCCAAACTCTTTTTCTCGAATAATCTCGGAACCTTTAAATTATCTGTAGATGATCTTGAAGCTCTAGTGGATCGTTGACGCTATCTGTGCTACCCATATTTTATCGTGTTGCTTTTTATCGGCCCTTTTCGTGTTATGTGTATGAATCGATGTGTATTAATCTTAAATCTAGCGCACTTTATCTCAGACCCTGAATAAAGTATCTATATAAACAGCAAAACGAACGAAATCAAGTTTGTATTATTTGTTTGACAATGAAGCTTGTGAATATTTAGATTATAGCTATGCTTATCGCAAGGGGGGCACTTCCATTTGTCTTTTAGGTTATACAGGGTGCGTCATAATTATTGCAACAAGAGTTCAAAGACCGTTTTCCAAACAGCTTTCTTATTTTTTTTGCCCCCTTTTTTGTTGTGTTGCGTTCTATCTTCTTTATTCTTGCCTAATTGCCTGCCGCTCACAAGGGAGGACGGTCAAAAGAAGAAGACGGTTGAGGACTGGTGTGTGGCCAACTTTCCCTCAGTGATCACCAAGGATGAATGGCCTCCAAACTCACCGGATCTAAATGTGATGGACTTTTCCATTTGGGCAATCTTAGAGGCTAATGTCTGCTCTCGAAAACACACAAGTTTGGATTCTTTGAAGAAGTCTTTGACCAAAGGATGGAAGGCGACTCCTCAAGATGACATTCGGGCCTGCAGTGGAGGCATATCCGAACCGATTAAGGGCTGTTATCAAGGCAAAAGGCGGTCATATCGAATGATCTCTTGTTTCCTTATTTGTTACTGTTAAATAAAGCTATTTCTGTTTAAAAATCTTCTTCCAGTGAAACTTCTTGGTGTGCGATGCCTTGAGTATCTTGTTGCAATAATTATGACGCACCCTGTACAAAAAAAATTAGATAAATTAGATTCTAAGGCATTCAAATGAGCATAAAACCGACAACCGTTGTGAAATCAGTGCTTATTTACCTACCAACTGCCGCTTGCGCCTCCGCTTCACCTTTTCTCATTCAATTCTGTCATGTTTCTTCATTTCTTCATTTTCAACCCCACAAATTCTTTGACATCTTTTTGTTGATTCAACTTGTCAATGGGTTTCTTTGTCTTTGGTCTCTTCTCTCGAAACTGGTCCCTTTTTCTGAATCAACTTCATTGCTTACTTACGAGCTCTAATTGAATTTAGCTTTTTCTTCAACTTTTTAGTTGTTTAGGGTTTTTTTTGATTAATTTTGATTTTTGATTAATCATTTTGATTAATTAATATACCGTACTCTCTCTAATAGTAGTCTAAACTCTCTCTCTAATCTAATACTACTATTTTTCAACCCCCTCCTGGACCGCAATACTATTAAAGAGTTTTATCATTTCCCAAAGTAAGACAGATATAAGATTTGTTCCAAAAATTCTTGCAATTCTTTCACGTACTCCTTTGGCTCCTTTTGACATACAGTTGTAGGCCGGCGAGTTGACAATTTGTCTCTTGACAAACAACAAAAAGATGTTTTTGCACTTTGCACAACAATTTTAGATTTTTTGCTAACTTTTTCATGTGAAGAATATTAGCTAATAAATATTAGGTTGATGCAAAAGTCTTTTTCATTTTGTTCGTACTTCTTTTGAAAAATAACAAAGACATCAATTAACCTATGGTTTGCTCTAAATGAAAAGTGTTTATTGTTGAATTTCCCATCTTTTTAAGTCAATTTGGGTTCACTTTCAAGCAAATTCGAGAGTGAAAACGGGTTTTTCATAAAAATCTATAAAAACCTCTATAAAGAAATTGGCTGAATCAATTTCTCTGAAAATCTGAAAAAATATCAAACTTTTTGTGCTCTATCTTTTATTTATTAACATCAAGATTGGTTTCCTTAGCCAAAGCGTCTAGAATGCATCATCGAGCCGTCGCCTTTTTTGACTACCCGACTTCAGGCTCTCAAAAAAATCTAGACATAAGACATTTTAAACTCGTTTTAATGTCATTTTGCAGAAAAATAATTGGCCTTTCGAATGCAATAAACCGTTGTTCAATTGGTGCATTTGTTACTTTTTAACGGAAGTACGAAAAAAATGAAAAAGACTTTTGCATCAACCTAATATTATGTATTTGGTTGAGTACAATGTGATGATAAGGCTATCTTCATTGATTGTTTTAGAAACGGTGAATCAATCAAAACACAAACGGTTTGTTTTATTGAAAAACCCTTCTTTTTTCTGGTTATTCTGGAGATACCCTGCCAAGGAACCGTTAATTTCAGCAAAGAATCGGAAGTGAAGTTTGTTTAAGCCCGAGTGAAGTTTGCTAAGGAGCATTAAGGGTGGTAACTCATTTACCAATAAAACTCATGGTTTAAAGGGGTTTAAAAGTCTTTTCCTTCTCAGTGCCTTAAAAAAGGGCTTGTTTTGAGAAATTTGAAGAGAGAAAAAGGGAATTTTCAAAATTAACATTGATTCGACTATGCAATTTGACCCTTTTCTTCTACAGAAACCTATTTTCATATAAATAGAAAAAAGATAGAATATAAAAAGCTAAGAGTACAGCCAAACTTTCAGAAAAACTCCTCGCTTTGTTTTCTCCATCTTTCTCTTTTAAGAATTTACGATAAATGAGAATTTATTTGCGAATTTAGATCATATCAAGCCAAGATTTGCCTTAAAATACCAAAAATTAAAAATACTTTTTATTTTTAGCGATTTAATCGATTTGTTTAGAGAAAAGTTGCTGATAAAAGGATAATGAGGGTATCAAAATAGTATTTAACATAATATCTACCGTATCCTCTCTAATAGTAGTAGGCTCAGGCGTAGGTTTAGGCGTAGGTTTAGGCGTAGGTTTAGGCTTAGGCTTAGGCTTAGGTTTAGGTTTAGGCTTAGGCTTAGGTTTAGACGTAGGTTTAGGCTTAGGCTTAGGTTTAGGCTTAGGCGTAGGTTTAGGCGTAGGTTTAGGCTTAGGCTTAGGCTTAGGCTTAGGTTTAGGCTTAGGCTTAGGTTTAGGCGTAGGTTTAGGCTTAGGTTTAGGTTTAGGCTTAGGTTTAGGCTTAGGTTTAGGCTTAGGTCTTATTCCGAAATCCTCTTTAATAGTATTGCGGTCCGAGAGGGGGTTGAAAAAATAGTAGTGCACCCTCGAAAATTTGAATTTCTGGCGCTTCTTTTTCGTCTAAACCTTTTTGACTTTATGCTTATGTGACATTCTAAAGCTATTCAAGCAAGCAAAAGTGAGACTTTTTTATTCATTTATTAACTATTAGGTTGATGCAAAAGTCTTTTTCATTTTTTTCGTACTTCCGTTAAAAAGTAACAAATGCACCAATTGAACAACGGTTTATTGCATTCGAAAGGCCAATTATTTTTCTGCAAAATGACATTAAAACGAGTTTAAAATGTCTTATGTCTAGATTTTTTTGAGAGCCTGAAGTCGGGTAGTCAAAAAAGGCGACGGCTCGATGATGCATTTTAGACGCTTTAGCTAAGGAAACCAATCTTGATGTTAATAAATAAAAGATAGAGCACAAAAAGTTTGATATTTTTTCAGATTTTCAGAGAAATTGATTCAGCCAACTTCTTTATAGAGGTTTTTATTGATTTTTATGAAAAACCCATTTTCACTCTCGAATTTGCTTGAAAGTGAACCCAAATTGACCTAAAAAGATGGGAAATTGAACAATAAACACTTTTCATTTAGAGCAAACCATAGGTTAATTGATGACTTTGTTATTTTTCAAAAGAAGTACGAAAAAAATGAAAAAGACTTTTGCATCAACCTAATAAATGGCCTTTTATCTTTCATAACTTTCAGAACTCTCTCTTGACTTATACTAAAACTTGATTGGAATCCTTTTTTGCCCATAGTTTGTTGATAAGAAGAGTTGAAGAACTTGCTTTGATCAATTAAAGAACCCGATCAATTAAAGAGCCCGATCAATTAAAGAACTTAGGTAGAGCTGAAAGTTCTTACTTTGAAAAGCTTTTATGCCTAAAATCTACCAATTTTGGTTAAAAATTCAAAATCCCAAACAAGTTTAGATTGTAAAAGCTAGATCATGTTCCAAAATACCATAATAAAGTAAAGTAATGAATAGGAAAGAATTTGGAATCGAAGGGGTATTGAACTCTCGACTTTGTGCTTACCAAATAGATGCTCTACCACTCAGCTATAGCTTCTTTACCCAAGAAGAAATAGGAAGAAAGAAAGATAAAGAAAGGAAGAGAAAGAAAGGAAGAGCAAGCATCTTCCCCAGTTCTCTTCCCCAGAGCAAGCATCTTCCCCATAATTATAATCTAGCATCTTCCCCAGTCATCCATTTCTTCATCAATGCTTGGATGTAAATCGAATACTGGCACTGCTAACTTACTGACAAATATCTCTAGATAACTCTTGCAAAAATCCCCAGAGTCAACATCGAAAAACCCACCCTCATCACCAACTCAATCAAAAACACCACGAAAAACGAGCTTGTTGATGATTTCATCAAATCAAAAGAGAAATCAAAGCCATGTGAGTAGAAAAAAAAGAGTTTAGAGGGTTAAGGCCAACCTCACACAGCTGTCGAGGACATGGAATGGGAAAAGTCAAGAGAAATCTCTCGACTTTTCCCCAAAAATCCTTTTTCACCGACCCCGGATTTCCCCTTTAACCTCGAAAAAGAAAATAAGCTCATCCCAGCTGATCTCTTTCTTCTTTTTTCATTTCTTTAAATGATTCGAACAGTTGGGTCCTTAGATTGAGACTAAAATCTTTTATTTTTATCTTTCAAACTGTATTTTTCTGATCATGAAATGATGTGGTTGGTGACGAATACTGGGTAGAAATTCTTTTTGAAAAAAACTTTCCCAATTTTTCATTTCAGAAAGCCAATGCACGGCGTCTCAATTCAAATTACATGGATCGTTTTATCGGGTAAACATTTCACTATAATTTTCAACATTTCAATGCAAATTTTTCAACTTTCAATGATATCAACTTGTCTAATGTTGATGTCAACTCTGAAACAATCAGAATTTGAGTGCCTGGTTTCAATTTACTCATATTTTATTGTTATCTGGTCACCAGAACGATTAGAACCTAGATTAGAATCTAGATTAGAATCTAGAAATACAACCTAGAAGTATAAAACTAGGTAGTCGCTAGGTATTATGGTATAGTAAGTAGTTAGCAGACTAACTAGCAATGCCAACTGAGTGTTGTGATCAAATGACATGAACCATTTGACACAGAATTTCACGCTGTTTTCGAATCTGCTTTCCGTTTCTGATATGGAACACTCTGTCAAAAGTTATAAGCGCTCAAAGTTTTGTATTGGAGCTAAAGTTTCAGAGCTAAAGTTGTTCACAGCTTGAACTTGAGCAATATTAAAAACAAAAATCTCGAATCTTCTTCAGTAATCGCTGGGATGTTCATCGGCTATGTTGCGGTGAGAGCGATTTGCTATTTCCTTGTGAGGGCGAACTTGGTGCCGTGCAAGAAACGATTAAGCGATATAAGGTGATTAAGTAAAGCGATATACGATATGAACTCCATTTTAGATTCTTTCAAAACGACGCGGAACGAGCGAGAGCAAAGGTGAGACTTTGAAATGCGGTTATCGGACATTTGAGACACGCTGCGCCCTTTTCCCATTGGCAAACTTTGAGCTGAAATATCTTGGTGTTCAATTGTCCAATTTAGATATTCTTTGTATCATTAGATGCGTCAAGTCTTTCTCTGTCGATTGATACAAAATCTATTTACATTGAACACCCCAACACCAAGAAATTTGAGCTTAAAGTTAGATTGCCAATGGGAAAAGGAGCGGAGCCATTGTGAGACCTTTTATACGCGCCCCTTTTATTGCGTAAACGTAAAAACGAAAGATTGAGATGATTGTTGATGGTTATCGGACATTTGATACGCGCCCCACCCCTTTTCCCATTGGCAAACTAACTTTGAAATCAAATTTCTTTGCGTTTAATTGTCCAATTTAAATCTTCTTGATATCATTGGATGCGCCAAGTCTTTCTCTATCGATTGGTACAAAAACTATGTCAATTGAACACCTCAACACCAAGAAATTTGAGCTTAAAGTTAGATTGCCAATGGCGAAGGGGCGGGGCGCGTATAAAAGGTCTCACAATGGCCCAGCCCCTTCGCCATTGGCAATCTAACTTTAAGCTCAAATCTCTTGGTGTTGGGTTGTTCAATTGACATAGTTTTTGTACGAATCGACAGAGAAAGACTTGGCACGTCTAATGACATCAGGAAGATTTAAATTGGACAATTGAACATCAAGATATTTCAGCTCAAAGTTTGCTAATGGGAAAAGGGCGCGGCGCATCTCAAATTCCCCACAAAATGCAACTTGCGTCTATTATTTGATTTAAATGCATGATAAAGCTCAAAATTCTGTTTTACAGATAATCGCAGCCGGTTTGGAGCACAAATTCAAAGAAGGGATCCCTTCTTTCACGATGGTCGGCCCACAATTTGTCGCAGCTGTAATGAATGATGATCACACGTCGATTGGTAAAGTTTTTCTTATGAAAATTTCTCAAAGCATAAAGATTGATCAAAAATTATCAATCAAAATCGTTTTTTTTTTCTAGAAATCGAGCCACCGCGTACCGAAGAGCGACACCCGAGAGCTCATTGGCCGGTTTTTCGATTAGCTGTCGATGGAAGGGTGAGTTTTATATCAAATTTTAGCATTTTAGCATTTTAGCAATCAAAGCACAGAATTTTCTTTGAAACAGAAACTCTTTTCTCATTTTCCCTTAATGAAAACATTTTGCACCTTCTAATTGAAAATTTTTTGTTGTCTGTTCGGCTTTTTATTTTGTCTCAGAATTCCCCTTGTTGTTTACAAACAAAGCATTGCACATCGGGCCTTCATTTATCACGTTTAGATTTAAATTTTATTTGAAAAACTTTACAAAATGTCTACCTAATTCAATTCTCTGGGTTTTGTAGAATAATATAGAATTTAGGGGAAAAATTAATCTCATAGTTTTAATGCCGAAAAATGGCTCAGTCGCTGACCGCTTCTTCTCGTTTACTTTTGACAAAAAAGCTTTTAAAAAAGCCCCTTTTATATTAGAGCGGTATGCCAGATTGAGAACGATTGCGCAAACGTACAAAGAATATCTTGAGATCTTTTTATACAGTGATTTTCCTTTTGCTTTTTACATGGATTCAATCAATTGCAACCCTAAATCAATGGAGATTTAGGGTTGCAAATTTCTAAGAAAAAAAAAGGCAACTCTTGTCTTTATTTTTATGTGTACTCTATCGTTTGAATCTTTCTTTCTATCATTTAAAAATCTATCCTTTTTAAAGCCAAATAAAAAGGTAACAATATACCTCTAAAGTGATGAGTTTACAATTCGCCGTTACTCATTGAAAAACCCCCAAAAAGCCTTTTTTTTGACTAGTCTATTTGCTTAAGTTCAAGACTAAACCAAGTTATTTTCAAATCCCCCAAAAACCCTTTCAAAAACCCTTTCAAAAACTTTCTCGGTCAGTTTTTCATTTCAATTTCCTTTCAACTTTTTCGTTGATTTTTCCACGGGTCAATCGTTCACTATTTACCTTTCCGTGGACAAGAAAAAGAAAAAGGCATTTGGCCATGGTCCGCAAACGTTTTTCGCTGTTCAAATAGAGAATTTCTGTGAGTTGGGACGGCAAAATTCCCAGTGAAGAGATAAGACAGATAAATATTGAAGAGTTGAGGCTAGAGGAGAGTGCGTTTAAGTCGACGAAAGGACAGTGTTCTGAATGGATTCGCTTTTGCAAGGAATTCGAGTAAATTTGCTCTTTTGGCAGTCTTTTTAGGTTATTTTCTTTCAAAACACTATTGATTGCAAAGTGAAAAGTTTCTTTTGTTTACCATTTTTACCATTTAGGCTTTATTGATCTTTTAAAAGTAGCTTTTAACGGATTTGGAAATGTTTTTGTTTTTTTTTGGTTTTTCAGAGAGCAAGAAGTTGAGGAATCAAAAGCAAAAAAGCCCAATTTGAGCACTTTTAGTCAAAGAAATCTATTTTTAAGTCAGAAGACAAGATAAAGCTTAAAAATTTACGATTATAACTAAAGTTTCAGCTTAATTTGCCAAGCCCTTTTCATTTTTTAATCATTTAACGCATTTTTGCTCAAATATTCCTCAAAATGAATCCAAATTTATTCAAAAAGATGTAAAATAAAACAATGAACAACTTCGATTTGCTGAAACCGTAACGAAATTTGCTTTAATTGTTTCTACAGCGAAAAATGGAAAGGCCATCACCAACATATAGTACTCAACTCAATAAATCCCAGCTTTTTTGGTTGCTTTAATAAAATGAATAGCTCCAGTCGATTCCCCGACCCCGAAAACCCCTGGGTACCAATTTACAGCTCAATCTCTTTGTTTTTGTGTCAAAGAAAAAGAAAAATGCGATGAGCGACTGAGCCGGCTTCACAAAAATAGAGCCGGCTTCACTATGCTCAAATTTTTGTGATCAATTTTGGCTTTCATTTGGCCTTAATTTGGCCTTAATTTGGCCTTAATTTGGCCTTATTTAGCTCTATTTTTGCTCCAAAGAAATCTATAAAGCTTAAAAAGCTTAAAAGACAAGATAAAGCTTAAAAAGTTCTGATTATAACTAAAATTTCAGCTTGATTTGTCAAGCCCTTTTAATTTTTTGAATATTTAACGAATTTTATGAAAGCGTAGAAAGGAAAAGAAACGCTAATTTAACGCTAATTTATTTATATGTCGTAACCGATTATGAATTTCAGCCGATTATGAATGAGCTGGTCCGGACGCTTCCAACCATCAAGTATTTGGTATCATTCAACGCAGAATCATTAATAATTATGTTAAATTTTTAAAATTAGAAAGATTGGATAAAAAGAAAAAAAATTATGGGGCCTCAAAGTTTCCTCTTGAACAAACAGTTTTTTTGCTCTAAATTTTTTCTTTTTATCAAATCTTTCTATTGGGTTGGGGACTATGACTCGGCGCCAAACTTTAAAGGGACTTTTTGCACACATAAAGCCTTCTTTAAATATACGTTTGGTTTCATCAAAAGGATCCACTATTTCTCTACAAAATCACTTTTGAGAGATTCCACAAAGCTTTTCTTTCGTGGAGTTTATGGACTCCCAAACACAGCTAGTCAAAATGGCAAAGAGTCCGACTCATCATTTGAACAGTTTCTTTCACATAAACCTTCTTTGGTGTTTATATAAAAAAGATAGAGCACATTGAATTACTTAAGTTGCCAAATTTGCAGGAAGATCCCACCAATGGTTTTTTCTAGATGACAGTTTGTAGTTTTTGTGAAAAAATGGCTTTTTCTTAAGCGGAGGCGCTGTTTGAATTTTCTTTTAAATGTCGTTTTGTAGAGAATTAGTTAACCATTCTACTGATATCAAACGCATATTATTTGACGAAGTCGAATAGAAGTTTTAGACATTTTTTTGATTTTCGGCGCCGAGTCATAGTCCCCAACCCAATAATTTTAGAAATTTAACACAATTATTAATAATTCTGCGTTGAATGATACCAAATACTTGATGGTTGGACGCTTCTAGACCAACTCATTCATAATCGGCTCCTGGGGTTGCGCGGTTTTTGAATCAAACGATCTAGCGCCGGCAATTTTTAACCTAAACTCACAAATTTGGTACCAATCGACGCAGAATTGAATTCGCTACAAGATGATATAATATTGTCCTCATACATTCAAGGGTTGCTCTACTAGAAAGATTTGCCAAAAAATTTCATTCATAATCGGCTACGACATATATTTTACTACATTTAACTTGCACAAGACAGTTTATTATAAGATTTCTAATTGGATTGTAGTTGTAATTGTAATTGTAATTTGGATAAAAACACAAGAATCAAAGTTCTTATTTTGATTTTTGCTTTTGAGCAAAGGTTTTGATCTACGCACTTTAATCAATCAATCAATCAATCAAAATTTAAATTAATGTATGGAAATTCGCGAAAATCTAACAATTACCTTGATTTCTTTAAAAACTATAGAAAAAATGAGAAGTGAAACCTTTTTTCCCTTTCTTTTTCCCCTTGGACTTCCAACTGTGCATCGTGGGCGTCTCTAAATAGATTTTACTTTTTCTTTGACTCTTACTCTGTCTTTTTCTTTTCCCAGCACTAAGAGAAGTCGGCCATTCACTTTTTATCATGTCAAACATTTTTAAATTTGAGTTTTCTAAAAAAACTTGTCATTAAAAACCCATGGAACTTTTCTTTTTCTAAAAATTTTGATTTCAGATCGGAACAAGCAGTCTTGTTGTCTCCGACGTGCCCAATTATACGAGAGCTTGTCGATTACCGACAACACAAACGAGTGAACGTCCTGCAGAGGGTTGGTTTTACTAAATAAAATGAATACGAATCAATACTAAAGACGAAATAAGTCCACCTGTACTTGAATTTTGATAAATGAAAGCTTTTTGGCATACTGCACTGAGGTTTTTGAGTAAATTGAAGAATCAGATGTTCTATAGAGTGACCAAGAATTACTGCAACAAGAATCGTATTCTGTTATGAGCCTCATTTCACTTTTTGCTTACCTGTTTTACGGTCAACGTGTTTCCCAAACGTTTGCAGGCCTGCCTGAATGCCGATAAAGATATTTAAGTTAACTTTTCGAGATGGGGTTGCATATTTGGTTAAAAGCCAAGCCTTTTATGTGTTCCGGTAATTCTTGATCATCCTGTCGAAAGCTTGCGATTGCTAGGGTTAAGTTAAGTCCAGCCACAAGTTAAAGTTAAGTCCTAGTTAAAGTTAAAGTTACTTTACTGAAAATTATATCGTTTCAAGCTTAACTATACTTTTTTTTACAATTTTTTCGTTTCAAACCTAATTTTACTCTATCAAATCTCAGGCGGCTTTTTAGATTTTTCAAGTTTAAACCGATTTTCAATCGTTGTTGCCATCAAAACTGCTCCCTTTACGTTCTTTACTTTCTTTTCTCATTGTTTAATGATCTTTACCTTCTTTTCTCATTGTTTAATGAGAAAAAAAGGTAAAGAATTAACATTAATTAACATTCCCAGCTGAATTCTCTTTCGAAATCTATTTTTAACTCACCAAATACCGAAGTAATGAATGGGAAAAGGTTCGCTTCAAGTAAATATGACTATTCCCTCTGTTTATAAAAGAAAAATTTGCTCTTAAAAATCGAGAAAAGAAAGAGAGCAAGTCATTGGAAAGAAAAGAGTTAGTCATCAGAAAAAAAAAACTACGGGTTTATCAAGTCGGTTTTATGACTAAAAAAGACTTGCCTCAGACTCAGACTCAGAATCAGGCCTGGCTTAACAAAGCATTGCCAAGTTTAAGGGAAAGGCACGAACTTTTGTGAACTTTTGTCTGGACATCTGCACTTTATAAAATCGGATATGAGGAATCCGAATTTGGAATCAAATCTGGAATCGAAGAAATTCGATGAGCTTTTGGAGCCAGGCTTGCAGCCAAGCCAGGACTCGGTTGATGTCTGGATAAAGAACTGACCTGGGCAAGGCAGAACCTGAAACAATACCTGGGCCAAGACCTAAAACAGGACCTGGGCCAGGACCTAAAACAAGACTTGGACCAAGACCTAAAACAAGACCTGGACCAAGACCTGAAACAAGATCTGAAACAAGACCTGAAACATGGCAAGATCTAGTTTCTAGTCAAGCTTTGACCCTACCTGATCTAGTTTACACTTGATCAGCCGAACTCAAGCTTTAGTATGAATACTTTCATTCTGAGATGCAACAAGATTCTACAGAGTCTGCAAGCTTTGCTAAGCTCGTCTTGCTCTCAATTTCAAGAATTTCATCATCCTTCAAAACTCTCACTCTCAAAATGATTTGTTTGGTTTTTGCAAAGATTCAATATTTTTCGAAAAAAAGTGATGTGTGGGTGGATTGAAAGTCAAACAAAAAATTGACCCTGAAAAACGAAAACACTTTCCCTTTTTGACAGCTGTCTTCTTTTATTTCCAAAATCCCCAAGTTTGCATTTTCGTTTTTTCACCTATTTTTCAATCTGTGATCATCATTTTTTCATTTTTCTTCATCAAAAAGCTAGCTAACAGCTGCGAAAACGTGAACAGTTTGGCAATGGAACACTTTTTTTCGCAAAAAAATTGAGAAAAGAAAAGTTCTGAGGATTTTTGAGTAGCTGTGCAAACATGGAAAAAGAAAAAAAAGGGAAAAGAGTTGAGAACAGTTGATGTGAAAAGAAAAGGGTCACGTGAAAGGACCCAGCTTGCTCGTCAACATGCGAAAGAGCTGACAAAGACCAAATGGACTCCCGCTTTAAGCTCTTCCACTCTTTTTGAACTCCACTTTTTCCACTTCTTTCACTTTTTCAAACATTCCAATGAGCTTGTTTTCTAAGAGTTGAATCATCACTAGATTTTTAATCACTAGTTTTTGTAGTTATGAAATCTCTATAAGTAAATCTTTATAAGTAAATCTCTATAACTAAATCTCTATAAGTAAATCTCTATTTATCTGTTTATCTGTTTAATTTGAGAGCTTAATTTGAGAGCTCTGAGAGCTTTTTAAGACAAATCTCTGCTTCTAAACAGTTTTAAAGTCTTATTTGAACCTAGATTTGAAACTTAAATCAAAAGAAAAACTCAAATCAAAAGAAAAAATCGCTCTAATCTGAATCCCTGCTTATCAAACTAAGCAATTTCATCATTTTCTTACCATTTTTATGTGTTAGACCTTTTGTTTTTGCGTTAAACCCTAAGACAGCTCATCAAAGATGGAAGTGAAAAGAAAAAAAATGGGAAGGCCAGCTGGAGCTCTCTTTTTTCTCTTTCACCATTGAGGTTGTTGACGAGAAAGCTCCTTTCGAGCGCTTTCCGCCAAAAAAAAACTCCCCCGATTGGCCCTTTGAAAGGAAAAGAGTCAGCGAAAGCCTTGAGAGCTTATTTTCTGACCTCAACGTGTTTTTTTTCTTTTCTTTCCGATGTTTTCGTGCTTCTTTCTCTAGCCCAGACTTTGTATAAGGTTTTCTATAAAAGGAACTTCCACTTTTCAACTTCTAGAAGGAATTTCAGATAAACACCTCAATCAAAAAGTATTATTCAATGAGATTCTTCAAGTATTTTAGCTTTATCTTTAGAATTTAGTTACTTTAGGATTCATTCTATCTACCATAACCTGAGCTGGGCCTCACACAGCTCCAGATCTTGTTATGTCTCACAACCCGACTAGGCCAGATCCAGGCTAGACTAGATCAAAATCAGGAATGACCTCTAGCAGGCCTACTTATTGTAAACCAGATTTGCCTGGTTTTAACCTGGCCTAACTCTGAAGCTGTTCTTTTGATCCGACTTGTTCTAGCCCTGACTCTAATCTTGACTAGACTTTGCTCCAGTTCTAACCCTGTTCATGACTTTAGCCTTTTTCTGTTCATGCCAGCTTTTGTGCCAGCCTGTCATGCCACAATCGGCAACGTGCTTGCCTATGGCGCACACGATCCGGGTTCGACTCCCAGCTGTGTCGTGACGGCTTTTAAAAAACGAAATGTGAGATGCAGAACTACATAGAATTCTAGGCCTAATAAACTGAACATTATGTAAATCGGCCCATAGGGAGCTGAGAACAGACAGACAAACGGACAGACAAACGGACGGACAAAGGGAGGGACAGACAAACAGACGGACGGACAGACAAACGGACGGACAGAGGGAGGGACAGACAAACAGACGGACGGACATACAAACGGACAGACAGACAGACAGACAGACAAACAGAGGGGCGGACAGACAAACGGACGGGCAGACAGACGGGCAGACAGCCAGACGAACAGACAGACGAACAGACAGCCAGACGAACAGGCAGACAAACGGACAGACATTTCCCTTTTATATATAGTAGATTCTCTTATTTTCATTCACAACTTATCCAAATTAAAGCTTTTTCATGCATCTCCTTCATTTATATCTATTTTTAAATGATTATTTTCTATTTTAGACACTTTACGTTTTCAAATTATCCATTTTATAAAGCCAAGGGAAATGTAGCTGATTTGACTGATTGACGGATCAATTAGCGCCGTTTTTGAACAACAAAAGACATTCATTCTACTCACAGAATTGTCTGCTGTACAATTCTAGAAATAGACTTGAGCAAAATTTTATCCGATTTAATTTTTGGTCTTTAAAGATGTCTTTAAAGCTGTCTTTAAAGCTGTCTATAAAGCTGTCTATGAAGCTGTCTATAAAGCTGTCTATAAAGCTGTGTTTAAAGCTGTCTATAAAGCTGTCTTTAAAGCTCTCTTTAAAGCTCTCTCTAAAGCTTTTGAAGACAAATCTAGTACGTTTCTTCAAGTCAAAATACTTGATTCTCATTCGTAGTTTCCTTTTTGCTCACTTTTAAAGCATTCTTTTACCCTTTTCTTTCAAAAGATATTCAGTGAGTCCCTGAAAATGCTAGAATATTCAAATATTTCTCACTTTTTCCCACTTTTTCCCACTTTTTCCCAATTTTTCCGTTCTCTTTCAAAGCGTCCCTCTCTCCTCCAAATGAAGGCACTTTTACGTAAAGTCCCGAGGTTCTTCAGAGCTTTTTTTTTTTTCCCTTTTTCTCCCTCAACATCTTTCCATTTGTGTTCCATTCAGTAGCTTTTTTTAAATTTTTTTTTTCTCCAAGAATTCTATGGAATCTGTTGCCATGTAGCCATTCGTAATTAGTCCTTTTCACACAAGAATTTCTCATTTTTCTTCAATCTCTGACCGTTTTCCCCTCAGTTAATTGAACGATTCTTGTTTCTCTTTTTAGAATAATAATAAAATTCTTTTTTTTTCTCTTGACTCTTGACTAATATTTCTAAAAAGGGAAATCATAAGATTTATGGGAGTTTTGGACGCCGAAAATGGCAATGAAATTGAGCTTTACTGTTTGGGAGAACTTTTAAGCGTAAAGACGAAAGATTGAGATGATTTTTGATGATTATCGAACATTTGATACGCGCCCCGACCCTTTTCCCATTGGCAAACTAAATTTGAGCTGAAATTTCTTTGCGTTTAATTGTCCAATTTAAAGATTCTTGAAATCATTGGATGCATGAAGTCTTTCTCTATCGATTGGTACAAAAACTATGTCAATTGAACAACCCAACACCAAGAAATTTGAGCTTAAAGTTAGATTGCCAATGGCAAAGGGGCGGGGCGTGTATAAAAGGTCTCACAATGGCCCCGCCCTTCCCCATTGGCAATCTAACTTTAAGCTCAAATTTCTTGGTGTTGAGCTGTTCAATTGACATAGTTTTTGTACTAATCGACAGAGAAAGACTTGGCACATCTAATGATATCAAGGAGATTTAAATTGAACAACTCAACACCAAGATATTTGAGCTCAAAGCTAAAT